AACAGACAAAATTTTAGTCACTTTTCAGTTTTTACTAAAAAATTTGGCTATTTTTACAGACTATTTTGTGAACATGTGATGAAAAGAAGGAACAGGTTAAAAAAGTTACAAAAGCTCAGAATTATTAGGGAAGCAAGTTTAAACTTGCTCATTATTTTGCTGACAACTTTGGTTTTGACATAGAAGATTTGACGATTGCAAACAATTTTGTATATTTTTCACTCTTTTAAAACACTGTTTTTTTTAGATATAACTAGCATTGATGGTGACCAAATGAAAGTTATATTCAAATTGTAGGTCATCTGCTTTCGTGAAAACCAGAGTGGTTAATGAATTAGTGAGCAATTTAGCAAACTTGCTGCCTCTTTACTTTTGAGACTTGCTGTAATGTTGTGAACAAATTAACATAAATCTATCTCACCACTAAGTTGAATGGTCATACCTGATCTTTTTCCCTTTTTTACCAGTATCTTTTTTATCTTTTTTTGTTTCTTCCTCTTTGTGTTCTTTTTTCTTTTTCTTGGGTTCACCTGAAGTTTACACAGTGATGTGTTAGTACAGTAGTAGGTATTAAAGTTGGTGTATTACAATTGTAACAGTCTCTTTCATTCGCTCACCATTGCAGACACAGTGAAGCAAGATATTCCTCAAATACAATAGGAATATACAGTGAAACCTGTTCACCAAAGATAGCCAGGGTTTGACTCTATGAAACTTTACCTTTTGGAGGTTCATACATAGCATCAGATCGTATGTTTTTACAGAGGCTAGTCTACGAAAAAGGAATAGGAAAACTGAATCAATGTAGACTGGTTTTACTGCTATATGTCCAATAATATGGAGAGAGAACTGGGAAAAAAGTTTGGATAAGACAGGTTTACACAGTTTACACATGGTTCAGTTTAGCTGGATTTTACTGCTGTATGTCCAAGAATATAGAGAGGGAAGTAAGAAAGATATTCAGTTTAGACAGGTTTCCAGTTTACACAGGGTTAAGTTTAACCAGGTTTTACTGCTGTGTGACCAAGAGTATGGATAAGGGACAGGTTTCACTGTATTTATATCTACAACAGAAGATCAATGAATACTTGCTTCAAGGTTAAACATGTATTCAAACTACACACACGCTATCATACATCTTTTGCAAACATGACATAATCATTATTTTAATAAATTATGTAACCTGTATCTAATATATATACTAATATTTATCAACATGAACTCCTCAGAGAGAATAACATTCTCAAAAACTTTGTGCAAGTTACATTAATTACCCTCAAACTTACTTTCTTTATTTCATTGCACATTTAAAACCTGGGCTTTATCCAATTATTGTGCATTTTAATTTACATAAATATTTCTGGAACAGTTTAAGTTGAACATAAGCAACACACACATTCATCCACTCTGTACACAATATTATCCATGCAGATGATATTCTCAAAACACAGACTTCTTTTCACACACTTACTTTTACGGCTCCCTTTACCGTCTATGTTGATAGGATATACAGGATTAGGATGGAAAAGACATGGATTAGTATGGAATAGGATGGGTTTGTATAATAAATGGAACGGCTAGGAATGGTTAGTGTGATGGGTTGGTGTAAAGTGAATGGAACAGCTTTGATGGACTGGGAGGATACATGCACGTGTACACAATGGTGTAATGGTGTAATGATTGAATTGGGTATATGTGGAGTGAGTGGAGTGTGTGTTTATATATCGGTATAGTCAAAGGGATTGGCAGTGGTCATTGGGAAATACAAATTCGGTGACAAATTGTGAACCTTTCCCCACAATTGGTTTGTTGTTGATGAATCCATGGTGAACAAAATAAACTCAGAAACAGTTGCCAAGCTTGATCATCCAGAAACTAGAAGTGGGTATATCTGAAACCAGCAAAATCGGTTTAGAAGAACATTTAAGTACATTATGGCTATTTTTCAACTTGTCACACATATTTGCACATTTGCAACACCCATTTATCACATTTGTGTACTGAGGCCTGAATAGACTGGTATAGTTATGCCAAGTTTTATTGAGAGATTTTAATGTATATAATGATATGCAAACCAAATGTGATAAATGTACAACCCTATATGTGCAATGTAATAAATGCAAAAATATTAACAGGTTTGGAACACCCCATTTTACAGGCAGGAAAAAATCAGTCCAACTCAATATAAAGTCATAATATGTATATTTCTGGATTACCAATCACCACAACTTATTTTTGATACAACCCAACCCCAATTTTGGAATGGGAGAAGGTAGGTAGGAATATGATAGGGATGGGGATGGATGGAAATGGTATTAAGCCAGAATGTTAAAAAAAAATATATATTTAAAGTGATAACGTTAACCTGATGAATCCACACTGTGTTTACCAGACATAGCTCCTAGGTTGTCTCAACAAAGTTAGCAACAATAATAAAAATAACAAAATAAAAATTAATTTAATCCAAACTTAAGGTATATAAACATTTATCATCATATTTATCATGGTTTACATAAAAAGTTTTTTTTTTCTTTGTTTTATTTCTAAGCATTAAAATATAGATGGAGGGAAAAACTAATAACTGCATCTGGGATCAAACTCCAAACTGGTAGAATTTTGAAATAAATGTTGGGGGAGAACTTCAGCAAACTGGAAACTTTGTGGTTATGTGAGGGATTCAAAGTCAAAACACTACCATGCATTTATATCATAGTCACACAACAAAAATGTCAAAACAAGACAAGCATTAAAACCAAGCCCATGCATGACAATTAAATTCTTGAGAGGGTAGTCATGTTGGAGGAGGGGCACACAGACTTACGTCGTTCACATCGTTTTCCTATAT